AGTATTCGTAATGTCCCTCTGGAGTTACAAATGCTGTTTTGTGTGTGTAATCGGGGTGCAATGGTATTTGATGGTAACCCGACGCTAAATCCATTGTCGAAAAATATGTATAGCCTCCAAGTGAATCAATAAGGTCTTCTATAACTGGTAGTGGAAATTTAATTTTTTTCTGTTATTTTATTTAAAGCCCTATAATCAATAACTAGCCTTTTATCCCCTCCTTTTTTATTTACTAATAAAGCTGGACTAGCATATTCTGAGCTACTTTTTTTTATTATATTGGCGGAAAGTAACTCACCAACTTGTTTTTTCATGATATCCTTATCTGACTGTGATAACCTATAAGGTCTAAATGTAACTGGTTTGGATGTAGTAGTCTCTATTTTCATTATTACCGAATGTGCTTTGCCCAATTTTTCCATAGAGGAATATAAACAACTGTGAAATGTTTCAATAATATTATATAATTTCATTTTATCTATTTTATTTAAGTCCCCGTGATTAACTTCAAGTTGAAAAAGTTGTAAATTATCTGAATATTTAAAAGTTAATTCATTACCAATACGATAATAAGAAATTTTTGGATTTTCCGTAAAATTACGTCCTACTAAAATTTCAGTATTTTTTAAAGTATTAACTGTAACATATAATAAAATATTTAATTTACACCCTTCCATAGTTACTTCAGTTTCGACATATTCATTCACTTCGGTTACGTCACCATTGAACCCCGTAAGACGCACTTTTTCCTGTAAGTTTTTAACTTGTATTTTAAGTCGAATTGCTAAATTTTTCTCAATCAATGAACAATCACTTCCTAAGTCTATAAACGCTTGCATAACTTGATTATTAATAAGAACCGGTTTGAAAAATTTTTTTGCCTCTTTGTTAGTTATCATGTTAACGTTTTCAGTTTTTGTTAAATTTATTTGTTTTTCATTATTTTTTTCTTTTTTTACAGCAGATTTACAAGCTCTGCCAATATGACCTTTTATTTTACAATTGTTACAAATTTTGTGTCGGTGAGGACAATTATCACTAATATGTTGTCCCGTTATACCACATCTATGACAAATAATAATTTTATGATTCACCGTTGAAAAATTCCTTTGTCTTTCGTAATTTACTTTTTTAAATTTGTCAAAAATATCCCTACGGCCAAAATCTTTACTGGTACTAGCAACAGGTTTACTATAATAATTGTTATTCGAAACTTCAGTATATTTTTGTGGTTTTTCTGAAATCTTACAATAAACTTTGTTTCGCAAATAAGACCCTAAGATGTTTAAATCATTGATATTTGCAGCTTCTGCTGCTGAAGTAATATTTTTATCATTTATAGCACCCAAAACTAATGAAATTTTATCTTCGATTGAAAAATTTAGTTTTAAATTATCAATTTTTGCTAAGTGTGTAAAGAAAAATTCATATAAAGAACATCCATCTGAAGGCTTATGATTTGCTAATTCAATTAAAAGTGTGTACATATCTCTTCTAGAATGAAATGTCTCCATCAATTTGTTTTTCCAATCGGACCAACTATAACTAGGCCATTGCTTGTCGTTGGCGATTAAATTTTCATACCAAATTTTTGCTGTACCCTGTAACTTATTCACAACTTGATGGATAGTCTGGTGTTCGGCCCAATTAAATAATTTTACATTATGCTCTATAATTTCAATCCAACAGCCGATATTATCTGATAACGGGTTAAATTCGGGTACTGCATTAGATATAACATGTTTTTCCGATAATAAGGATAATGAGACTTGACTTACCCCCGTCTTGTTTTTAGGTACTTTTAAATTCTTTTTTTGTTTACTTTTCTTGCGTCTCTTATTTAATCTAGAAGCACTTGAACTGGACGAAGAACTAGTAGAACTCGAGGAACTAGAACTGCTCGAAGAAGAATACGTTCTTTTTCTACCCATTTCAGGGCGAGTCGAACCACTTCTGATGTTAGGAGAGGGTTGTAACACTAAACTCGACTATTTAACTTCCCTATTTATTATATTCGACTAAACTGTATAATGATTCGCACAATAATATCTAAATAAAACGCTTATATCATTTCTGGTGATTTCGACTTATCGCCTAATGAGTCATAGTACTAGATATTCCAGCGGCGTCTCTTACGGGGTTGCTAACATTTGGTATGCAAAGGAGCGTTTATATTTTTCTGTGCGGTGAGGGGGAGCTGTTATTCTGTGCCTATATCGAGTATTTAGGAAAGGCGTATCAGAACCGTATTTAACTTTATTATATAAATAAACAGGTAAGCGGTTTTTAATGACTTTATGGAATAGACAAGCAGCGTGAAGTAACCTTCGTTTTTCCATATTTAGCCAATTCAAAGTTTTTAATTTATGGGATATAGGTTGTCGTCTTCTAATTCCACAAATTAGACGAATACATGAGTTCTGCATGACCTGAATTCTCCTTTTGTCATCTGACCCAATACAGGGACCATAAAGGACATCTCCATAGTTGAATTTTGATAGAACCAACGAGTCACATAGAATTTTTTTAACATTAAATGACAGGTAATGACGATTAATGTAGATTGTTTTTAAGTCAATGAAGGCATTACGAATACATATATTAATATGACTGCTAAATTTGAGTTGATTGTCCATGACTATACCAAGGTTTTTGGCGCTGTTTACGGGTTTTATTATATCACCCTCAAAATTTAATTTGAGTCAGGACAAAATTTATTAGGGCCAAAGACAAGAACATTCGTTTTTTTCGAATTAATGCTAAGAGCATGTGTTTTTGCCCACATAGCTAAGTTTTTGAGATCTTGGTTGATAAGGTCAGTGGCATGTAAAATATTGTTTGGATGAAAAGAGCTATAAATTTGTGTATCGTCGGCATATAGGTGAGCCTTGCAAGATTTTAAGACTGTTCCGATATTTTTTGTATAGAGAGTAAATAGTATAGGTCCTAATATAGATCCCTGAGGAACTCCAGATCGTACCCTCATAGAGTCAGAAATAATTTCATTAATTTTAACACGTTGGCTTCGATCACTTAAGTAACATTTTACCAGACCTACGGCATCAGGCGAAAATCCTATATAATGAAGTACGGCACACAGCAGGGAATGATTAAGGGTATCGAATGCTTTACTAAAGTCTATTAAGATTAAAACCGAAATGTTACCATCATCCCTAGCCTTTAAAATATAATCGGTTACGTTAAGAAGTGCAGTTTCACAGTTATGAGATGGTCTGAATCCTGACTGATATTCTGGTAAAATATTATGAGTTGATAAGTAGATACGAATTTGTTCTTCTATTATTCTTTCAAGTACCTTTGAGAGAGTTGGGAGAATACTAATGGGCCTTAGATCCTTAAACTCGGTTGGATTACTAGTTTTTGGGACAGGTCTGATAAGTGCTTGTTTCCAGTTTCTAGGGAAGTATTGTTTGTTAATGCAACTATTAATTATATGTGAGACATAGGGAATTATTAAGGGACAACACTGAAGCAGCATTTTTATATTTAAGCCATCAGAACCTTGAGCATTTGATTTGATTGACTACAGTAGTTTTTGGACTCTATCATTTGTAACTGGAGTGAAAGAAACTTTGTCACGCGAAGGGATATTGTTAAGATAACTATCAAGGACATTTCGATCTGCAGGTAAGTTTGGAATACATGAAGTGTAATATTTATTTAAATTGGTGGGGTTACATAAGGTATTGGGTATAGTATGTGACTCTTTTCCGATGTTTAGATGTTTTAAATTTTTCCACATATTATTAATACCTCCTACTCTTAATTTGTATTCAAAATATGCTTTTTTTTCATTTTTGCAGGCTAAAGTAGTATAGTTTTGTATACATTTTGTAGTATTCTAAGTGACTCACTTTTTTGCTTTTTTGCCATCTTTTTTTCGCTTTATCTCGTAATGACATAATATACCTAATGTTATCTGTTAACCAAGGATTATATTTTTTGGTGATTCTTATCTTTTTATAGGGTGCGTGTTTATTGAAAAGCGAAATGATTGAATTATTTAGGAGATTTATTTTCTCATCAATGTTGTTCAAGCTAAAAATGTTGTCAAAAGGTATAGAATTCAAATCACATAGAAAGTAATCTTCATCAAGGTTTTTAAAATTTCTTACTATTTTAAAAACATGTTTAGAATTGTTAGAAGAAACATTAAGTATGCAATAAATGAGTTCATGACTTGTCATATGATCTGCGGGAAGAACGCCAAATGATTTAATTAAGTCACGGTTAGACGTTATTAAGTAATCAATTAATGTTTCAGAGGTCGGAGTTATGTGAGTTGGTTTATCAATAATTTGTATTAAATCATGACTTTCTAACAAGGAGTTTATTTTCTTAGCTTTAGTTGAGTGCATTTTCAGCAGGTCAACATTGAAATCGCCCAAACATAATATTTCATCAAATTCCGAAGCTAAATTTGTTACAGTTTGTTCAAAAACTTCAATAAAATCATTAAGTATATAGTCAGGAGGTCTATAAGCAACACAAATACCTAAAACTAATTTATTTATTTTAAGTTTAATCCATAGTTGTTCGATTTTTTTGTCAGATAAGTTATGAGTCTGGAAAGAAATAGGCCAAATTGATAAAAAGCCCTGTATCTCGGCTATAAAGGTCGAAAGACCCATTAAGTATGGGTTATTTGGAAGCACCTCGGTGGTCTCCATCCATGGTTAAAGGGAGCCCCTTTACCAATGAAACATTCTGTATAAAACACTAATTTCTAATAAGTAATGCAATAAAAAAATAACAAAAATAGTAATTTATGATTCGTTAAATATTTATTCAAAAAGCCGGATACTTTATCAATCAGACATCAGACAAACTATAGTTTTATTTGAAAAAAACACATACAACCCAATAATTATCGTAATAAACATGTTATTGTAATTCTTACCAAAATTACAATGTAAGGTGTGAGAACCATAACAATATACAAATTATCTAAAAAAATTGAATATTTTATATTAAATTACCTTGTACTCGAACATGAAGTTGCCATTGTGACAATCCGCGTGCGTTAATACTCTATCATCAGGAACATCGAGTAGAAGATACTTTACAATTTCCACCACATTTGGTTCCATCAATTTTTCATATCTTTTCTTGAGATCCATCCTACCCACTTCATTTAAATTCTTAATAACTTTTCTAACAGATTTTTCGTACATTGGACCGAGCAAAGACATTCTTTCCAGCATAATGTTGTAACAGGTTTTTTCGATTGTTTCGAAAACTTCCGGTTTTTGATCTCTAATAGCTAGGGATATAGCGTGGAATTTCGCGTAATTACTTAGCGCTAGTTTTATATGATTCATGTTCATCGGGATTTTTTTTTTATGCATCACGTACCCTTTAGTTGTCATATTTTCCTGTATTATAACTTCAGCATTTTCAGTCTCGAAGGCTGTGTAGCACTTCGGTAAAGCTTGGAAGGGTTCTTTAATGCTTTTCTCCTGTTGGAACTTTTGGAAAATCGGCACTACGTCTCTATAAAACACCACCTCTCTTTGGCAAATTTCAGATAGGAACTTTCGTAATTTATGTGAAGGTTTACTCGCCTTGGCAGCTAAATGTAGTTGTTTTCCATTGTGATTGGGTTCATCCAGTATTACTTTAGCAAATATTATGTCGGCTATGTATCCATCACCTTCTTCCTTCTTACCCTCTAGTTCCACGGTACATTTTTCTGTGCCTGCAGCTTTTTTGAACCAATTTATTAATTCACTACTATCCCGATCCATTGTTAAATATTCACTGATTTATTTTTTAATACCGATCTGTCTGGTACCGCGGTATCAAGGTTAGTTAATTAGTAATGTTTATAATACATTAATAAATAATATAAAAAGCTTAACTTGTTTAGATAATAAATTATCGTAATAAACATGTTATTGTAATTCTTACTGTTGTGTTTTTACTAATCGTAGATTTAAGTAAAAGAAATTTAAACTAACTACTGTGATTTGGTAATTGCCGATTTCTGAAACAGTTGATATATTATTTTTTATAACATTTTACCTAAGAAAGAATAATCCTAATAGTAAAGACATTCTATTTTGAACATTTTACATTAATTACAAAAGTTTTCTAACTTTGCAATAATAATCGGCTACACTTAAAACACTGAATAGTGAAATTACAGTTAAAATCATTGGTTATTTGTGGCCAGTGATTTTGACTGTAATTTCACTTTAGAATGATATTTACACTGATTAATTGCAAAATTGCTTTAATGACTGTAAACACGCATTGGTTACTTTAAAATTCAAATTTAGCTTGTAATATTTATTATACAGTAAACACTGCATTTCTCCACGTGCAAGTAGTATTATTACAAACTACTCTGTATTTTTTTAAAAAGTTCTGATTTTACCTTGTGAGTTATCTGTATTTTTACAACTTAGTATGTGATATGACAGAATATTTTTAAAATTACGTATTTATAAATATTGTGTCTACAAAATATTTGTAAATTAACTTATATATTTTTATTTTGACAAACTTATTGTAAAAAACCCTTTATTTTCTAATAATTACTGCATATTTGAAATTTTACAAATTTATTGCTACATTCCTCAATGTGAAGCGAACTTATAGATGTTACAAAACATGTGTGAATCCGTTCATATATTTGTATTTTCACAAGATTATTGTAAGAACCTTTCATCATTTAAAATAACAAGGTAATCATCTAATTTTAAACAATTATTATTGTAAAATTGCAAGATTGATACTTACCTAAATATTGTTAATTTACAGGATATTAGTGAATTAACTCATAGATCTGTAACAATACTAAAACTTTTGTTTTCACTTTTTATTTTTCCACAAAAATGTAAAATTGCAAATAAGTTAGGTCCAAATAAATTCGTATTTTTTATACAATTAAAACTTTGTGTTTTTCTTGTAAAAAGTATTTTTAGTAAAACAGTTTATAATTTTAAGAACGATGTAACCCTTTCTAGAGTAAAAATCACTATAAGTTATATTTACAACCATTAAGTTGTGAGACTAGCAGCTATTATCAAAAGCTTTTCAAATTCTGGTAACCAATTTTCAGTGGCACAAGGATCTTGAGAAACCACAACTGTCATGGAATTTAATAAAATTCTTGTGAAATTAAGATACTAAAACGGTCTAAGTATATTTCAATTCTGCATTATATATGTGAATAACAGGATATATACGTATTTCTATAAGGCAATGTAAATTCACAGATGGTGTGTAAAATTACATTTGTAACGGATTTAAAAATATTGTATAACAACAAAATATTTGTAAATTAACCTATATACTTTTATTTTGACAAGATTATTGTAAAAGTCATTTTATTTTCTATTAATTACAGCAATAATGTAATTTTACAGAATTATTGTTAAATTACAAGTGTAAAGCGAACTTATGGATAATGTCAAGTTACAACGCATTTGTGAATCAACCTATAACCTATATCTTTGAATTTTCACGAGGTTATTGTAAAAACACTTTTATCATTTAAAAATACATTTAATTTTACATATTTTTTGTAAAATTGAAAGGTTAAAACGCACCAAAATATTGTAAATCTACAGGCGTTTTGTGAATTAATTCATATAACTGTAATAATACTAAAAGTTCTGTGATTTCACCTTTGATTATTCCTGTTAAACTGTAAAAATGCAAGTAAATTAGGTATATCTCAAATAAATTTGTATTTTTACATTAAGAAAAGTATTTTTAGCAAAAAGTTTGTACTTTTAAGAACAATCGATTCCTTTTTACAGTAAAAATCACTCTAAGTTATATTTACAATCATTATGTTGTGAAACTTACAGTTATTATCAAAGTTTTTTACATTGTAGGCACCAAATTTTTTTCAGTGTAGTTTAAATAACACTAAGTTTAAATTTGCAACCATTTCCAAGGTCCGGAACTAAACTGCTGGTCACTCGAACTTACACATAGAGATTTTTAGGCAAAATTTAAAATTCAATAGTTTCAACAGGAATGCAAATTTTTGAACGCGGCTTGCAGATTTTAAGAGCTAGTTTTCTTTTAGATTAAGCAGCATGACGTATCTTTATAATAATATAATATAATATTAATTTTTGGTTTAACTCTAAACATTATTTATTAACCGACTTCAAAAAAGGAGGAGGTTCTCAATTCGTCGCGATTTTTTTTTGTATGTATGTTCAGCGATATTTCTTCAACACGGTGTCCGATTTCAATAACTCTTTTTTTGTTAGAAAGGGGGTACCTCAGGGGTGGTCCCATATAAATTTGGTCAAAACATAATAATTGGGTTTGTGAGAAAATCCTCAAACTCTTCATTTTTTATGTCTGTTTAGCGATAATGCTTTACCACCTTGTCCGATTTATATGATTCTTTTTTGTTAGTAAGGGGATACCTCAAGGGTGGTCCCACATAAATTTGGTTAAGATGTGGTGACGGCATCTGCACGTTTTTAAAGTCAGTTTTTTAAATTTTTAATTTCTAATAGGTACTTGTTACCTATATGTATGTATATCTAATGTATGGGTTTTTAGTTCTGATTCAACTGTTTTTGGAACACCACCTGCTGCAAAAAGAAACATTGCAATAAGTTATAACATTAATAACCAAGCATAAAAAAATTAAATGAAATTTTAGTTAATAAAATTAAAGTATTTTATATATTTAAAACATTATTTTAAAAATTTTTACAGTTTTTTACGATATTTTTTGCCATACCATGTTTTTTTTGTAATTATTAATTAAAAAATTATATATTTTTAGGACAGTGTTTTATTTAGATACCCCTACCTACTTAATGTTAATTTAAAAATTTAAATAATTTTGGTTAACATCATACCAGGCAAGTATATAGTAAATGCCAATAAACTATAAACCAATAAATATTAAAAATCGAAAGGTAACTTGAATTCGCCTGCATTTGAATTTACTTGTACTTGAATTTACCTACATGAAAAATCAGCAAGTATCATGCAAAACTATTGTCATATACTCTGATAGCCAAGCAGCTCTAAAGGCAATTATCTCACCAGAAATCAAATCACGACTGGTGAAAGACTGTCTAGAAGACCTGACAGAGCTAAGTAGTTAAAATAAGGTGACCTTAGCCTGGGTTCCAGGCCATGAGGGATATCAGAGCAACGAAAAGGCCGACGAATTAGCCCAAGGAGGCTCAGATAAGGCCATGACAGGCCCCGAACGCTTCTGTGGAGTTGCTAAGGCATTGTGCAAGGCATCCATTAAATAATGGATGCAAACAGGGTCTTAGAAATGGTGGAACAACTATTCAAGACTGAGACAGGTCAAACAGTTCGTCAAGGAACCATCGGCCAAGTTCACGAAAGGCCTACTGGATCAAAAGCGTCAAATAGTTAGGATAACAGTAGGCCTTCTTACTGGACACTATAGCCTCAAAAGGCACATGAGTGTCATAAATCAAGCAGAAGAAGCAACTTTGTGCAGGTTCTGTGAAGAAGAAGAAGAAGAAGAAGAGAAAACAATATTCCACGTCCTGTGCCAATGTGAATGCCTGGCTGGAACGAGGTTTCTAACATGTGGCGAAGAAAAGCCAATTGCATGCAACTACATGCGGGAGCCACTGTCAAAGCTACTAAGACTAATAAAAAAGACCAGGCTAAACGACATACTCTAAAACAAACAGGAGTCCCACAATAGATCTAAAAAGGTCGCGGTGGACAAGGAAAAATAACGTCCAACTCATAATCTAATCTAATCTACCTACATGAAAAAATCATCATAATTATATTACTAAAAAAATATACCTACATATTTACGTATTTTTCTAACATACTACTCTGACAATACTGGTAAGTTTAAAACTCTACGCCACTGGCGAGCATATTATGGACACTGTTTACAACGTTGCCAGCCGGTCCTAATAGATCTGTCTTTCTCTCTTCCACTCACTAACAATTTTAAAACAATAACAGTCCGCAATTGTATGGGAGTTATGAATGAAACATTTTGTCTATATGTTGTAATGTCTTTGCTTAGACTGATGAAATTTGGAGGGTGAAAATGAACTATTGTAAGCTTCTCTACTAGTAGTAACAGGTGACGTAATAGGCATCGGTGACGTCACCAGGCAACTGAAACCAATAATATTAAATGGGACGTTATGACAAGTAGAATAAAATACCTATTCAGTCATACTATTGTTTTTTGATATAAGATGTTTTTGATGGTTAAAATAAATAAACACTAAAATTTGAGTTTCGCTTTTAGTTCTTATAATAATTGTTCAAAATGTGCTCCATCCACTTCCTGGCAGTAAAACATCCTATTATTAAACTCTTGTCGGACTCGATTAAATGTGTCAGGGGAAATTGCCCTACATTCTTCAACAATTCGTTGTTTTAAAACGTCAATACTGTTAGGAGCTGTAGCGTAAACTTTAGATTTAAGATATCCCCACAGAAAAAAATCTAAAGGTGTTAGGTCCGGTGACCGAGCTGGCCATTCTATTGGACCGCGTCGCCCAATTCATCTACCAGGATATTCCTCATCTAGATAACTTCTTACTGCAAAGTAATAGTGTGCCGGAGCGCCATCTTGTTGGAACGTTATTTCCAAGTTACCAAATTCATCTGGATTATCTTCCAGAATTTGAAGAATTAACGCTTCAATTGCGTTTTCTAACATCTCGAGATATACTTCACTGGTTAAATTAGAGTTTAAAAAAAGAAGACCCACTATATGGTTTACCAAAATACCTACTGTGTATGTTTTTTACGAAACATGTGAGGATTTATGTCACTCCAATACCTACCATTTTGAGTATTAACATTTCCATTAAGGAAGAAAGTACTTTCGTCACTAAAACAAATTGTCCTTACATAGTCTGGTTGTTGGAGAATTTTAATGGACATATTTTCACAG